GCTACTGCTTTCACAAAACTCACCCGTAAATCAATAGAAAATCTTCTCCAAGTTTATAAAATCAACGAAGTCCACTTTATTTGCTCCTTTTTTATCAGTGAATATTCGTAAACTATAAAAACAAACAACAGGCGGTCTGAATTTCGGAACATGAAGTGATAGAGAAAGTGTATTCTTGACACGTGATTAAATGGTGTCAAGAACAGTTGCCTCGTTTCGCTCTGTCTCTTATACTTCAAATTAGGCACAGAACTGCGAAAACGAGGCACTCACAGGGAGATAGTAACTGCTGGTTATTTTAAGGCATACGCGCATGCGTATTTCGGTTACTACTAAAACAAGTGCTCACAAGCATGGGATTACGTATGTAAACAGAAAATGCCATATTTGCTTAGAAATAAATATAATTTTCAGTTAGCATGAGTGAAAATATACTTTGTTGTTCCATATAGCCCAGCGAGGCGGTGCTTTTGACAAATTTCAGCGAGGCGCTTGCAAATATCAGCGAGGCGGGCGCCTCGCTCATTTAAGTGCAGGGGAAACACTGCAATGGGTGTGTTACAAAAAAGTATCAGGTTGGATGTGTACAGATGGAGTTATGGGATACATATAAAACACTATAATGTGACTACATTGCATCTTGAAATGGCAAATGAGAGCAAAAACAATCAGCAAGAGTGGAGATCCACAAGGCAATTTTGATATAAAGTCCTTTTATCGTAAAAAAAAAGATGAAATATTCTTATACATATATTTTTATGTGTTATCCTTAATTTTTAATGAACCTTTTTTTTCTAGAAAATGTTCTAGACATTCATTTCAATTATACAATTCATATTTCTGCCAATATTCCTCTTACCTCCAACAGAACACACACTTGTTGGCACAAGCAAGACTGGGAGTAGTTTCCATACACCTGTGACTTTCAATGCCATAGAAGGTGTGTTTATAACAACCACCTCGTCCACGGAGCATGGACTGGAACCATAAATGTACAAATTGTCAGGATCAAAATAACATAGTTTTCGTCAAAATGAGTATAATATTATCAGTGCATAACGAGGTAGGTAGAAAGATTGTCATAGAGGAAAAATATTTTTAACGGGTCTAAATGTGAAATTCATCCATCAAAATCTTTCTCATTTAGTTTAGAGGGCAACTGATGAGCATGTGATGTGTCACTGACACACACACACACCTTCAGAATGATACACATCAAATGTCCATTTATTCACATGAACTTAAGTATGCACTACATAACACACGAAACCTATATTCCAATCAGTTATCACCTTAGTCCATCTGCAGAGCTTGACTCCAGAATGTGAACCGATGAGTCTGTAGCCTTGTTTCTGAAGTGAAGTCTTCAGCAGTGGTGTTATCATCTCTCTGGGTTCTTTTGACTTGTTGTCATCTTCAACCTTCCTTTTAGCCTGAAAGATGCAGCATTTGTAAGGTAACGGTGACTGTTACACATTTAATATGTTAATCTTAAAAGGCGTATAGTACAAGACAAAGCAAATACATATAGTACAAGATAAAAAATGGTGGATAAATGAGTTAGATGTAAAACTGATGTTAAACAAAAATTTGATGTTGGTAACTTTAACAAGAGTAGGTTCATTGCACCAAGAAGAAAAGGGGGGGGGGGGGTGTCTGCCTATGCATTTATCTACATCCAACATAAACAAAAATGAATATTCATTCAAAAATCAATTGGAAAGAAAGGAAAGCACCTTTGCCTTCTTAATATTATTGACCATCTTCCCTATGTCCTCNCAAGACAAAGCAAATACATATAGTACAAGATAAAAAATGGTGGATAAATGAGTTAGATGTAAAACTGATGTTAAACAAAAATTTGATGTTGGTAACTTTAACAAGAGTAGGTTCATTGCACCAAGAAGAAAAGGGGGGGGGGGGGTGTCTGCCTATGCATTTATCTACATCCAACATAAACAAAAATGAATATTCATTCAAAAATCAATTGGAAAGAAAGGAAAGCACCTTTGCCTTCTTAATATTATTGACCATCTTCCCTATGTCCTCCACATCCACCACACCATTGGCTTTCTGTACTTTTTCTCCGTCTCCATCTCCCTCCTCCTCCTCATCTTCTGTGTCTTCTTCACTACTTGTCTCATACTGAAATCATGTGTAAGCATATATAAACAATAAAGGAAAGCTATTAAGGCAACACATAAAGTCAAAAACAAATAAATAAATTTATCAAAGGGGAAGGAAAATATAAGAATGAGAATATCATTTACCATTTCTTTGGTGTCACCATCTGCTGTGCCACAGTTAGGTTTAACATCTTTCTTGTTTTGGGGCGATCCTAAGACCATAGACCAAAACCTGTTTTTCCAGAATTCAAAATCAGCTTCAATACCTGAAATATGTTAGTTAGTTAATTAATTAATTAATTATTTCCCCATGACTCTCGAATATGTAATGCTCATTTAAGTCTCATCAGCACAGATATTTAGCAAATAGGAAAAATACAATCACATTTCAATATCTGAATGGATTCAAACGTTGTTTCTTATCTGTGCTTACCTCCATTTTTGCTAGAGGCAACATTCTCGTCTAGAAGACCAATACCCAGCACCCTATTAGCTGACAACTTATGGAACCAGTGGTCTATATTTCTAGCAACCTGTAAATAAATAAAAGCATTCTTTAAACAAGAGCATGGACCAGAGCCAAAGCTAAATGTACATAATAATAATAATAATAATAATAATAATAATAATAATAATAATAATAATAAAAAGATTTTCTTTAAAATGTCAAATTTTACATCATCAGTTATTACTGCATGACTACAATAAAATTGCCATCAACATCACCATTCCTATATTTTAAACTCACCTTGTTATATCTCTCCTTGTACAAAGAATTGCCCAATCCCACCACACAATACCTCATGTCTTGAAGCATGGTCTTCTGGATTCTGAAGTCAGACGCAGCTTCTTCCAGCCACTTATAAAACCATGCAGCGTCATCTGGAGGGGAGCCTTCTGTATAGGTAGATATGATGAACACACAAATGTTCTTCCCATCAGTCTAGGTAAATACATGGAAAATCAGAAAAATATGTGATATCAGGAAACATAAAGATTAAAATAAATTTTTTCCAAGGAAGTAGGGCAGTTTACAAATTCTTATACTTTAAACAAGTAAAATATCTTTTATTTTCATTTATTTTATCTATAAACATAAAATATAGTATCATAACAACATGAAAAATACAACAAAATGTTTTATACCAAATTCACTTCATATTTTAACATCACTGATGGCATACCTCATCTGTAATATTATCTTCAGGATCATAAGTTTTCAAATCAATGACTTCACATTTTGTGCTGTGCTCAGAAGCTTCTTTTTTGATAATATCTGCAAATGTCTAAAACAATCCAATGTTGTTTTTTTATTGTTTAGCATGAATTAATATTTTCATAATACAAAAAATATCTATGTTATTGCACCTGGTATTTAATGATACTACATATAATAAAGGTACTGTATTAAATCCTATGTACAGTAAAAAGAGACAGCAAATATAACAAAGCATTAACAAAGCAAAAGTGCATCCATGTCTTAGCATAGTTTCAAAATATATTTAAAAAAAAATTTATCCTTTTGTGTCTAACATTTCACAACTTACCTTTGCTGTTCCTGTTTGGGTTCCAAAGAAAATTTTCACACAAGTTTCCTTTTTACTTGACTTGGTTTTATTCAGATTTCTTTCATCAGAATTTTTTGAAGCCTGAAATTGACAGAAAATAAAAATTAACTCAAATAATTGTTTTGAAAATTGAAAACATGACATAAAAAGTCTATGTTGATTAAAAAATTCCAAAACATCTACCAAAAAGGGGTTTACATATTATCTTAAAATTAAAACCAGGAAAAAGATACAAACCTGAACAGACAGTCTTCTCTTTGGTTTACCAGGAACATATGTTTTTCTTTGTTGAAAAGTCAACCATGCGAGCCCCAGAAAACCAAGTAGTATCAACAGCCAACTTTGAGCTATGACTGCTGCAAGATCAGCAAGAAAAGTACCTAGGAGTAAGAGACAGGCATAAGATGGAAACATTAATTTCAATACCTTCAAGTATACACTAAATTATAAAAAAATACAGGTACATATTGTGTAAAATAAAGATTTGCGCAAATCTCAACAAAATGTTGTTAGTCTCACTTGTCATTACTAAAAAAAAAACAATTATTCTCAGATTCTGTTAATCAAATATAGTCCTTAATTCCTTACTCTGCTCCTCTACGATAAAAACCTCCCCTTAAGTGATTATACCCCCTCCCCTTACATGTAAACACACACACTCCACAATTACGTCATACCTTCATCCATATTAATAACGAACACGAAGTTATGTTTGCTATTATTTTAGGAAAAGATCCATAATAAGTGTAACACGATATATAGCCCCTTAATATAAATTTCCTTGGCCACACAAGATCAATGACAAATCCACGTTTTCTCTGTTACAAGCTTTAAGATTGTCCGATAGAGGGCACAGAGGTGCAGTGTGGTAGTTGCAGTGTTGAGCAGTGTTGCAAACTGTAACATACATTTATTTATTTATTTGTGTAATTGTATTTATTATCATATGCAACTTGGCAATACCATGTATATAATGGTTTAAATCTATAAAGTTCTTCTTCTTCTTCTCGGCGTGTCTTGAATACCCTGGCTCTTCAAATACAGTATGTCTGCGCCCATGAACACGTTGTGATGTATGCCAACTGTTAATTTTTTCGAGAAAGAAATGGTAATCGTAATATGAAGGTCACATTGAGGCTGTTTTTCACGCCTTCACAGTATCGACTTCAAGAGTAAAAGTAAAAGACAGACAAGCTGTTTTAGGTATAGTCCAATTTTGGTACTGACTGAGACCGTGACTTGTTTTGAAATTAATGTGTCATGTGATATATAAGACTGTATAATAGCTTTCGAGAAATACGATTTACAAAGTCAAGATAGTTAATTGTGTTAATTTTCGTCATGTTGGTGATTTACACGAATAGTTTTCGATTATAGATTATGATGTAAAAATTGTTTATATTTTGGGAAAAAAACTGCATTGTACTGTAATTATAAGTGTCTTTGCTGATAAATTAGTTGAAGAAAGAATCAATTAACATTCATCAAAAATATGTATACCACACCAGTATGTTAAAATGTGATGCTAGTTAATTAGGAGCTATCTCATTTCAGATAAGTCTTTCAAAATGCCAGTCAGGGTGAAACACAAATTTCATCCCTTGCCAACAGTGAGAGACCTTATAAAGATGTATAAAATTAGAGCAGAGAAACAACTAGCACAGAATTTTCTCCTTTGTACTAAAACAAACAGAAGAATCGTAAATGCAGCTGGTAAAATCAAGGTGAGTCAATTTTACAATAAAAGAAATATTCATTTTAAATATATTAAATACATGTAAAATATTTCTTTGACCATATATTACTACTGCTGAAAAGACTAATAAGCTGAAAACCACTTAAATGTCTGTGATCATTTGTAGCACCTTCATTTGTCAGTGTTTAAGTAATTTTCTTTTAGAATAACTACATATTTGAGGTTGGCCCTGGACCTGGTGGCATTACTCGTGCCATTTTGGAGAAGAATGTTTTAGGTCTAACTGTTGTTGAGAAGGATAAACGCTTTCTGCCAGGCTTAGAGGTATGTTGTATGTGCAGTAATAATTTTTTTGCTATTATTATTTGTGAAATTGAGTACATTCTTTCCAGTTTTCCTAAAAAGGTAACTTGTGGAAGATGTGGGGTTGTTTATATATATTCACTGAATGAATACATTGTTTTGAAATAAATGCATCATATGTCAATATATATATATATATATATAGTTATATATAGTTTATGTATGTATTGTTTTTTCTTATCACATATTATGAGGAACTGACTTGAAGCTGCTTTTTTAAAGTCTGACCAATTATGTGAAAAAGCATTGAAAACCCCTCCATGAAATGTGTATTCTAGTTTTTGGTTTATATGAAAAGATTATTTGCTTATATGTACAGTATATTCTTTACTATTTTAGTTAATTAAAGACACAGCCAAACACACAGAGATGGAAATTTTCATTGGAGATATCCTTTCATTCAATATGAACCAAAGGTTCCCAGATGAATTAAAAGAACAGTGGGAAGATGGTCTACCTAAGATTAAAATACTGGGGAACTTGCCATTTAACATATCAACTGGACTTATTTTAAAATGGCTGGAAGATATTTCTAATCAGAATGGTGCATGGAGCTATGGGAGAGTTCCATTAACATTGACATTTCAAAAAGAAGTTGCTCAAAGACTAGCAGCCCCAATAAACTCCAAGTTCAGGAGCAGGTTATCAGTGATGTCACAGTATCTCTGTGATGTCAATCATGTTTATAATATTCCAGGTAGGTGAATGTAAGCTTTCAATGTCACAATTTCATTGTGATGTCAGTACTGTTTGTGTCACCTTTTTGTCTAAAAACAATGGCCAGTAATTGAAATTTTTTACAAAATGTTATTGGTCTGGCATCAGTTTTATGGACATTTGGCTTGGGGACAGTTTTATGTTACAGGTAGCTAAATATGGAGGTTGACAGTGATGTAATTTTGATGTCAGTCTTGTGTTTTTTTTCCAGATGGGAACATGTAGGTTTACAGTATTGTAACATTATGTATGTGTATATATTCGTCAGTCCCCTATCTTTTGTTTGCACCTGTTAATTATAGTAGAAGTGCACATTACTTGACATTCTTTTAAATCACATATGATTCTGTACATAAAAGATGCATTGTTATAATATATTATATCCATAAAGCCACTTACAGCCTGAAGAAATGGGTTAAAATTCTCTTTCAAAACTACATTTCCCATAAAACAGACTTTCATTAATCAAAATTTTTTCTCCTTGCTTTAGCTGAGAAGTTTAGACCAAAGCCAGAAGTTGATGCAGGTGTTGTAAATTTTGTCCCAAAAGTGGAACCATTGATCAAGCAGCCATATCCATTGGTTGAAAAAGTAGTTAGACATGTGTTTCATTATCGCCAAAAGAGGTGCCAGAAAAGTATATCGTAAGTTTGCTGAAAAAGTTAAAAGTGAATTTAATTTGGCGTCATTTCTTTCAACTAATGAGTATTTCCCATATTTTATGGACAGATTTTTGTTCTAATCGTGGTCCTCTTTCTTGGGAATTTTTAATGAAAACTGTGTTTTTACTTGCAATTATAATAACTGAAGTCCCCTACTTCAAATGAGGCATGTAATAGCACATTTCTGAGAGGGGAAATTTTGCAACTTTTAACTAATTCAGTCCAGTCCGAGAGTATTAGTTTTGTTTATAGTTATATTACTATGCTTAAACATTTTAAGCATAGAAGCTGCTTTATTTTTATGTACAGACACAGATGTGTCTGTACATATAGCCATCATCTGCGTCTGTCGTCGCCGTCGCCGTCGTCGCCGTTGTCGCCGTCGTCGCCGTCGCCGTGCACTTTTACCGATAACACGATAAGTGGAAAACCATTTTGCCTTTTGATTTGAAACTTGCAGAACTGATGAATATTCATAATACGCAGGTCAAGTTCGAAAATCAGCATGATCGGGTCACTCTTAGGGAATTTATGCTGTTTTTTCACTTTTTTCAACATATATGCAGCACCGATAACACGATAAGTAGAAAACCATTGTACCTTTTGACTTGAAACTTACAGAACTGATGAATATTCATAATATGCAGGTCAAGTTNAAATTTTTCTGGCAATTTAACAGTTTTTTGTGAAAATTTAATTTTTCACTTATTTGCATCTTTATTTTCTGTTTTTTTGTCTGTACATTTGACAGCTTTGCTGCCTTGTTTCCAATTTTTATTTATCCAATAGGACACTATTTCCACCAGACCAAACAGCGGAGTATACACAAGAAATGATCCGAGCTGCAGAGATTGATGACAGAGCCAGACCTTTTCAACTTGCTATTGAACAGTATGCACAGTTGTGTGAGAAGTACAGTGAGATATGCCAGCATGATCCACTGTTGCGGGACTATGACTACAGGTCACCCAGCAGTGCTGCAATGAGACGGGAATTTAGGCACAGGAAACGGGAAGAAATGCTTGGAGTAAGGGATGAGCAGGCATCAACACAAGAACAGCACCTATAGCTTTTCATTTGGAACTTTTTTTCATGCAATGACAAATTTGAGTGCCTAAGTGTGATTTAAAAAGATTTATGTTTTAGTGATTCATGATCTTTCTTGAAACAAGACTCTCTTGCTTAACTCCACCTTTATGTTCAATAAAATGCAAAGAATTCCCTTTTTCAAAGGAAGTCAACATCGATTGTTTAGATATAAAAATAATCCACTAAGGCTGGTTTTTGCACTCAAAAATTATTTTGGTTCTTTGAATCATCCCTGTAGGTTGAAGAATAAATAATATTTTTCATTACATTGTGTTAAAGACAGGAAATGGCAAAGGAGACAGAGCAGAAAGACGAGGTGCTTGGTTTAAGTTCAGACAAACTGCCTGTCCATAAAATAAAATAAACTATCCATGAAATTCAATAATGTCAATTTAACTTTTAAGCTATTTATTTTGCCCACATAAAAATGGTCATTAACAGTTAAATATCATCTGTTCCCGAATTCATCTTTTAAATTATTTTATACATTAATATAGCTATTCTGGAAACAAAAGTAAAAATAAACCTCCAGTTTGGAGGAAAGCAAATAGTTGAAACAAAAAGAACTTCCCTTGAGCACCCAGTGGTAAAACTATCTATACATTAATATCTTGACATTATTAGACCTTTTATAATAGTACTTTAACAGCAGTTATGTGAACACTACAAAGTAGCAGCACAGAGGAAAAACGTTTGCATCAAATAAGTTACATAGTGCAGTTTTGTTCTTCCCCCCTCCCACCTCCAACACTCCTACTAGACGTGATCAAACAAGTCTCATTTACTGGAAATTTCATGAGAAAATGCCCTTCAAAGCACTGCATTGTGGGCTCAATTTAAAAGTGCCATATGGTTTTCTAGGTATTGAAATTGGCAGTCAAAATACAAACTGAATTTTAAGAAGTCTTATCAGCAGTATTTCCACAAAATATACAGGAATATGCTTTCTGCTTTCTCAAATATCTTATATAATTGCAAACACATCTCAGATGGTAATCTTATATCTTATGGGTATAAAGAAAGGGGGCATTCTTTAAAATTCCTCTTAAAAATTGCACAAAGAGTAAACCAAATTCCTGCTATGTAAAAACCTTCACAATGGTTGTACCTTGCCACACATTCTTTACTCAATTTCTTTCAAACCACCTAAGAGATGCAGATGTTTATAGCCTGTGCTAACTAGCAATCACTCATATACACCACTTCCTTAGTTTGAATTCATTGGCAATTCGCCTATGTATCCACAACTTACTGCAGCTTCGGAGTGGTGCAGGAGAACACTGTAGACAATACAATTTTTTGACATACCAAACATATGTATTTGAATACAGAATCTCGAATTTAACAGTACTTGTAGACTTCACTTCAATAAGATAACATATTGCCCTACAAATAAACCTTTGACCATGCTCTACAATATAATGGAATGAAGGCAGTCTGTAGGGCTTCTTATGAGCACAATGCATTTTCACATACCTTTTCATTTTTATTCATATACAACGAAGCCCACAAATCAGCCTTGTCAGTAACAAAAGGATAAACATGTAAGAACATACGTATCCCCTCTTGTAACTTATAATCAATGAAGGCCACTTGAACCCTAGTTCATCCATTCATTTTTTTTTTTTAGCAATGGTTTGAAGAATCTTATGTGATATACTCTTATATACAAAACATCCTTTCACTTATGCAAAAGGTTTGCTCTTAAAGTAATTAAGCACTTGCAAAAGTGGCAGTTTATCAAGCTGAATATTTAAAACATAATTTTAAACAACAACTGATAATCTACCAGTACAAACTATTGTTCTGTGGTACATGGTCTATATATCTGGCCCTTCATCAACCTTAACTGTAGGTAGATGTCAGTTTATCATACGGCAGTCAATTGTGTTGATCTTAATAGTTGATAGATTTCAATGAATGAAATGTTTGCCCTCTCTTTCTAGTACAGTATGGGTCTGGTGATTTTATTCCCAGTCTTCCCAGTCATCACCAATATCATCATCCTGAAATAATGTATTTGAAAATTGAATATTAAACAGATTTCTTTAAATCAGTTTTTTTTTTCCTATTATAAAAACCTAATCAGCTTACATTTACATGGCAACAAGAAATTTTACATGCTGTCCCTCATAAATATATATCTGAATGCAACTGTGTGTGTCTGTCTAACAAATTACCTTAACTGCATTGGTTTGCAAGAGACAATATATCAGGTGTATAACGAACTCAACATACTTCAATCTTGGTAGTTCAACCCCCTTGTTAAAACATTATATATGTATGTAAAAAAAAAAAATCCATCCACCCACCTGGTCCCCTGTTCCTTCTGTAGCACCAATTTTTTTAGCGGTCTCTGCAGCCAGCTGCAGGTCCTCCTCTGTTACCTCAATGTCAAAATCTTTCTCCCAGTCATCTTCCAGACTGCTCAGTTCTGAAATATTGGGTAAGAAACTTTCTAATATTCATGTTTTGTCTGTTTAACATGGATTAAAGAGACAAAATGTTTCAATATTTTGGGAATCTTTTATCAAAACTACAAAAGGTCAAATAGTTTATTACAAAATTAATGTATCGAGATATTATGATCCATTTTCAAGTTGGTTTTTGTGCTTACCCTTATTATTGCTTTCCTCAGATGTGGGTGTTGTCCTGTTAGACCCAACCATAACCAGATCTCCCTTTTCTTTAGTCTGGATGTCTTTCTGTCCTTGTATGTCTTCATCACTAGTCTCAGGTGATGTGGTGTCAGCAGCAGCTTTGTCAGCTGATGTCTTTTCATCTCCAGTAGTAACAGCTAAAGCCAATCGATCTGCCTCTTCTTTTTCTTTACGCTGCTTTTCTGCTAATTCAGCTTCCTCCTTTTCTTTCTGCTGCCTCAAGATTTCAGCCTCCTTTTCTTTACGTAACCTCTCCACTTCTTCTTTCTCTTTCTGTCTTTCAGCTTCTTCCTCTTCCTTTTGTAGCCGCAATCTTTCTGCTTCCTCCTTCTCCTTTTGTTGCCGCAATCTTTCTGCTTCTTCTTTCTCTTTCTGTTGCTTCAGTCTTTCAGCTTCTTCCTTTTCCTTTTGTAGCCGCAATCTTTCTGCTTCCTCCTTCTCCTTTTGTTGCCGCAATCTTTCTGCTTCTTCTTTCTCTTTCTGTTGCTTCAGTCTTTCAGCTTCTTCCTTTTCCTTTTGTAGCCGCAATCTTTCTGCTTCCTCCTTCTCCTTTTGTTGCCGCAATCTTTCTGCTTCTTCTTTCTCTTTCTGTTGCTTCAGTCTTTCAGCTTCTTCCTTTTCCTTTTGTAGCCGCAATCTTTCTGCTTCCTCCTTCTCCTTTTGTTGCCGCAATCTTTCTGCTTCTTCTTTCTCTTTCTGTTGCTTCAGTCTTTCAGCTTCTTCCTTTTCCTTTTGTAGCCGCAATCTTTCTGCTTCCTCCTTCTCCTTTTGTTGCCGCAATCTTTCTGTTTCTTCTTTTTCTTTCTGTTGCCTCAGCCTTTCTTCTTCTTCTTTCTGTTGCCTCAGCCTTTCAGCTTCTTCTTTTTCTTTCTTTTGCCTCAACCTTTCAGCTTCTTTTTCTTTCTGTTGCCTCAACCTTTCTGCTTCTTCTTTTTCTTTCTGTTGCCTCAGCCTTTCTGCTTCTTCTTTTTCTTTCTGTTGCTTCAGGTTCTCAGCTTCCTCTTCCTTTTGTTGTCTTAGTCTTTCAGACTTTTCTTTTTCTAGTTGCAGCCGCACTATTTCTGCTGCTTCTTTTTCCTGCTGCTGCTTCACTATTTCTGCAGCTTCCTTTTCTTTCTGTAACCTTAATCTTTCAGATTCTTCAGCTTTTTTGTTCTCATCTACTGTGTTTTGTTTCACCTCAGCTGGTGTGGAAGAAGATAGTTTCTCAGTTTCTGTTTTAGTTTTTCTTTCATTTGATTTAATTTCACCTTTTTTCTCGGCAAGACTGACATTTGTTTGTTGGAATGTAGCAGCATCTTTTTGCTGTTCTTGTGAGGTTTGTATTTCCTCTTCCTCTTCACCTGAAGAACTCCATTCTTGCTCCCCCTCCAGCGTCTTCATCACAGTGTCTTTCAGCTTGCCCATTGACTGAGTAAACATACTAAACACTGCCATTGCTGCTGGTTGTTCTCCAGACTTAATTTCAGGCCCATCTCCTAGGTCAGTCTCTTCTGAGGAAATGTCCCCAGTCTTTGCTGAGACTTGTTTTCCAATTTGTTTTGGTGCTGTAACTGCTTGCATTTTTTCAACGTCAGTTTGCAAAATATTTTGTGAGGGCATGGAAGCAGATGCTGCTGCATCTCCCTTAACTGCAGTGATTTTTTCTGGTGATGCTGGTGACTTTTCTTTGTCTGGTGACATATTTCTTGTTGAGAATTCCTCTACTTCCTCCCAATCATCTAGAATTAAAACAACAGACACTTACACATCATGTATTATAGCGGAGGCAGTTATCTTGTTTCAATACCAAGTACGGGACCAACAACAACAACATGCCATCACTTTTATCAAACTGTCCACAGAACTTTCTGAGAGAATGATACAGGCTGTCAATACCAAGTATATATCTATATTTGATTCATGCAAAATAACCCCTTTTTCTTACCATCCCAGCCCAAGTCATCCTCATCCCCAGCAGACTCTGCTCTCTTCATCAAGTCCTTCTTTCTGATCTCATCCTCTTCCAGCTGATGCAGCTTGTAGAAGTACCTGCGCCAGAAATCAGCATGGGAGATCTCTGAGGGAACCTGAAGTGATGTTAAAAACAGAATTATGTAGTTTTTAATACTCGTTTTATCTAGCATAAAGCAGCAGAGCTTAACTGCCAGATTAACATAAACACAATATCCTTTATTGGAATTTAAAAACCAATGAATAATAAATCCCTTTCCCCTAAACACCAATGAATTCCCAAGAAAAACTTAGCTATTGCTCTTTTGCTTACTTCAAAAATTTTGAAATAAAATGGTGGAAAACTGACAAAAAAGCTGGTCAGTTACAAAAGTAGTATTTGAATATCAACCCACTTACCAACTGAGTGTATAAAGACCGGACTTCCACCCTGGCCACAAGCAGCTCTGAGATTTCACCCTTTTTATCTTCCAACTGAAATTTTTCCAGCCATTCCTTATATTTCTCTGGGGGTCCCTCTGGTTCCTGACAGTATGTACCAGGATCAATCTGTATGGCATACACTCTGGCCTGAAATACAAGGGATTGGTTTTCATGGATAACATTCAATGCCTAGAGCTGAATGAAAATTAATTGTTTTATGTACTGTGCTCGTGTTAATAAATACAAACAACATACTCTGGAAAGCAAACTGATCCTTACATTAAAGAAAATGGGTATACATTTAAAAAAATTCATAAAAAATATTTGAGGATATGCATACCTGAGCCCTGTCATATATCACTCCTGTTGGAGTTATCTTCAGTTTCTGCTCACCATCATCATCGGGAGGAACATAAAGAGCTTTCTGTATATTTCCTAAGAAATGTGTGATCCCATCTTTCATCATGTTGCCGGTAGAACCTGGCTGTTCAGTCTAAAAAGACAGAGCATGGCAGGTGACTTGTAATTGACTCATGTATTTAAAGCCAACTCCAAACTTTTCAAACACATATCTTAATATACACTTTTCATAACTTGTATTTCCAAAATATCAAAAGATTTAACTGGACATTTCCATAATTGCACTTTTTATTCCATTTATTTAATTTTAATTGCAATATTGTGCATCCATTTGAAAATCTATTTTCCTTTCAAATCATGAACCTTAAAATTGCATATCAAGTTGCTGCTTATTTCAAATCACTGCCAATGAACCAACCAAATGTCACCAAGGTGTTTCAAATAGTATAAATGAAAATTATCACAGAATTTAGTATCAGTATTACCAGAAAAATTATACTTGCACAGATATTTTTTGCCTACTTCCCGAGTCTAACATATATCAGCAAGCAAACGTAGGTCAAAATTACAACAAGAAATTAGAAGTAGGTGCAGGTTAGAGCTTTTTTCAGTTTAGAGTTTTTTCTGCACCCCAAGAGATAAATTATGGTTGGTATTTTGGCACGTGGATTTTAATTGTTGTGTATTTATAGTACAAGTAATTTATGTATGCTACAGGGCATTCATTCTTGCTTTACATGTATCTTTATACATATATAAGATACATGCATCATAGAAAGGACAAGCACCTACCATGACTCATCATATTATCAATAGTTAAATAATATTTTCCAGATTATCACTGAATGCACAGATGTTAGGAAAAGAAAAAGTATGTATTACATGAAAAGAAAACTAATTAGAATTTTACTTTAAATAAAGTTATATTCACTATACAGTTTGACAACAGTAAATGGATGTTTTAAAACTGACATATACAAATCATTTTTGCAGCTATACTATACCAGCTGCTACATAATATCTACCATCATATTAAGAATAATTTATGGTCTGCATAGTTGTCAAAGTGACTAAGCATATACAAACATAGCTATAAAACTGATCTGTTCAGTTTAAGCTGCATAATACCCAGTATTCAATTCCATCTTATTGTCATATCAACCCAACATAAGTACTTCAAAAATTTCATCTTTTAAGACTGTTTCAATAAGTCTATTAAACTGCATGTCACTCAACACTTCTTGCCATTTTTACCATTTGTTCTCACAAATGCATATATTTTCATAACCAGATGATAAAAAAACTGAAATTAAAAAAAAAAAAATATATATATATATATTTATGGTTGGTATATATAATATATATATAATTTTATTTGGTAAAAGTGCACTTTTCAATAAAAAATAAAAGAATAGCCCTTTTTTTGGGGGGGGGGGGGGGCGAGGGCTTGGAGCGTTATTCAAATATTTTTTCTTCAAAAGTTTGACATTCTGTGCATTAACCTAACCTCATATACAATTATGGAATATATAAGAGTGTGTGTTACATATCAATAAATGTGGAAAAGTGAATTGATGATAGCATTCAAACTATTTTCATGCAAGTTACACTGTCGAGTGTTGCCACTAAAGATAGTTGAAAATTTGCTCTCCCATTTCTACCATCCCCCTATGTGGTCAACCAGGAAGTTTTGTTATTATAAAATTGCAAAAACTGTTTTAAATTACTGTAAAATCCAATGATTTTTCCTACCATATGTGTACTTTACTCTTCGTAACAGTGTGTTCTACATGTACCAATTCCTTTCCCTAACTATCTCATAGCCCTATGTGGGTTACATAAGAAACAATTTCCCCTAATCATAAGGTATTCAGCAACTTACTGCCAATTTATCTTTAACCACTGAGGCAGATTTAGCCACCACATCCTTGGTCTCATTATGAACCACACATCCAAACTCTGCCAGGTCCTGTTTGAGGAATCCGACAGCTGAAACAGTCTGTAAATAAATCATGATAAAGCAAGTTAGTGTTTCAATACTAGGATTAGGATACTTAAATGTCTATGACAATTTAAACAACACTGCACTCATCCAAAGAGATCATGTCAGTCAAAAAATTTGATGTTGCATTGCTTACCACAACTGCGTGATGTGAAATCGATTGCCATTTTATAATGATGATGTCACCTGAGTCAAAAAGTGCATTTCGTATGTTATGAATTTTACAATTACTTCGCAAATCTCACCTTGTCTTTGGCAGCCTGAAGCCATCCACCCCACCAGTCACCGCCATCAGACCTGCAATAAAATGACACGGTAAGAGTTACATAAGTGTGGACACGAGAAATACTTAATATACTACCTTTTCCTTGCAAGAAAAGTTATTCTTACCCTCCTTCGGCCATTTTTGTTTTGATCATACGGGTACGTCAGAAAATTGAGACGAAGGAGAATCAGGCACTGCAGTAGGAAATTGATAATAACGTTAACACTAGATCGTTGTTGTTTTGATATTTTATGTTAAGTCAGTCACGAATAGCAGAAGATAAAATTTGATGTGAATACTCTATTTAGTAAGATGTGAGGCTTGTAAGAATTTTTGTAACGAAATTCCGTTCGATGTTGATGTTTTGGTTATGAATAAAATTAGGACGGAGATTTACAGCGCCCTCTACAGGAAGCAGGTGGCGGGTGGACTAGAAGAAAGTCTACCATCGACGCTGCTGCATGATTATTAATGACGTGCCCTTTGCATTTGTGGGAAAAACATTCACTCATCGAGTTAGTTACAGTGTATTGTAGCATACATGCCATGTATAACAGCTAATATTACTAATTAGTGCTACGAATCTATGTTTCCAATAGTAATAACGTTAACTTAAAAGCCCTTACTGGTACCTTACCATTGCATTGATTGTAGTTTGCACAAGTTGACAACTGTTTAAACTTTTGCAAATTGCAAACAATTTACATAGGTTCCAGGTGTGATTTTACACTGACGGAAATGGTGTCACAAACGTAACGCTAAAATACAACTAGAGCTGAAAATCAGTTATCACCACTTCATTTTTCTAATGTTTCATAGTACAGTACCAGTATAGTACTGTACAGTAGTTGCGTCTACTGTACATGTACATGTACCTTAGGTCGTACTACGAGTGTGCATGCTTGCAGCCCCCCCCCCAACTCTTTAAGAAGGAAAGAGATTAGTTAATTTTAATATGTAACTGTTGTTAGAACAATCACTTATTTAAACTTTGTGTGCATAACACAGCTGATTAAAGTCTTCCTGATCGACTTATGCACTTAAATTATTATATTATTATTGTTTAGAAAAGAAAATTTGACAGTATTCAATAATGTAATTAGTCAGAATTTTGTTTTCTTGTTTCAGTTGAGTTGCTATTTAATCTTTTACACAAACATCAGGAATCATGGCTCAGAGCAATCCAGGTCCCATGGAACTTTTCCTTGCTCAGGCAAACCAGGAGACGACTGCAAGCCCAATGGACAGTGAGAATGATGATGAAGATGATGAAATGGACATAACATTTGATGATCTCTTGTCCCCTGGCCAGCATCCTTCTTCTGATTTAATAACAAAGTATCTGAAAGGTTGGTGAAGATGTGTTAACAAATTTCTCTTTACTATGACTGATATGATATGATATGATGTGTATCAACTTACATGTACATTATGTGTGTTGAAGAACATGAATGTGATTATTGTATTGTAAGTGTTAGATACAGCATATCTCTCATGTTAGTCAAAGCTAACACATTTACTAGCAAGGATTGTTATCAAAGCATGGTCAGGCATCATTTTACTGCATAATAATTAAATTAAGATTAACATTTTGATATCAGTTAAAGGAAAAACACTTGAATACTGTCACCCTATGTTATATTCATTTTAACCTCCTATCCTTTATAATGGTGTTCTTTAGGTGAAATGACATTTCTCCAGTTACAAGATGCTGTCAGGTCCAAACGCCGCAAAGAGGAAAATGTTGTGTCCCTAGAGACAGCTGACCAGCCTCTGGACATTGAGAAGCTGACCAAAATGGTCCAGGACATGGAGCAGTCTCAAAGTGGTATGTTTTAGATTTAGAATTAATTACATAGGGTATTGCCTGGGTTTCAGTGATTTTGAAATTAAAGGGCATTGTTTTAAGATATTTATGTACTTGATATAAATACTGTTTATCAGTGTGTTTTTTTTATATACTTTTTGTCATTAGTGCACATATTTATATGCCACAAGATACCAAAAATGGGAGTTTAGCCCAAAAAATTTAGTAAACAGACTTTCATGTTTTGAGCAATCTTTTAGTTCTTGCCTGCCATCTCTGTATCATGTTCAAGTGAAAATATCACTCAAGATCAATTCAAAAGTGGCCTTCAAAACATGTTGAAATTATGCTGTTGTGCAAAAATACTCTAATTCAACAAAAAAAGAAGAAAAAAGAAAAGTATAGGCTGTCTTTAGAAATAGAAAATCAGAAGCTTAAAAATTGTGAAAATCTTATAAACTGTCTCTATAAAGACTTTTTTCTCTGTATTGATTGATTATTTGGAATTGATATTTTCTTGTACATTAAAATCTTATTCATCCCTCTAGGAGACTCTGATGCAGAACCCAGTGCTGAAACCAGTACCACAGTTGGTGAATTGCCTGCTACGCCAAGAAAACGGAGGAGGGTATGGCTTTATACATGTTTGTTAATTTGTACATATCACTTGATAGATAAATTACTTTAACCAGGCCTTATAAACAGAATAGGCGTTTGTGCTCACGAATCTAAGGCTCATGTGAGCAGTTATCATTTATGAGGCCTGTTCCCCCTCCTAGGTCATGATGGCGCTGCCATACTGAATCTGGCTCCAGTTGTCTCCATCTCTGGGAGCCATGTGTGAGGGCTGGACTCATGGCAAAGTGCTTTTTGGTTCACTCAGCGTGTTATTTGACAATTTTAAAGTGTGGTCCTTTTTGGGCTATTACTTCTCTCTGGGAAAATATTTCATTTTTCACTGGTAGAATTATTTATAACTTTATGAAGTTTTTTTAAAATTATATATAACCACATCAACTAAAAAATTACACAAGATGCAAAAGTTGATCTTAATTGGCTCAAGAAATCTAAAACTTATGATTTATCATCAATTCATCATTGTTTTGTCCGAAAATATTTTTGACAGAGCATTTCACCTGCTGGACTTATAGTAAAATGAACTTTGAGAATGTGAATACTTTCAGAGAGCCAAGAGGACTAAGTTACCAAAGGAGCTCCAAGGTCTGATGGGAGAAGCCAATCTCAAATTTGCCCGTGGTGAAACCCAAGAGGCAATAGCCATGTGTAATGAGTGCATCAGGCAAGGTGAGGTTAAGGTTGGTTTTATAAAAGCGTGATCATTCAGTTTGATTGTTCCTCAATATTTCGTGTATATTTTTATGCATACGGTAATGTGCCAAGCATTTCGACGGGCCCAGTCAATCCGACCACAAAAATTATTTTATAAAATTAATTTTTCTGGGCTCAAACATTTAGTCCATACGTCAAAATCATGCGATAGATTTTTTTTCTT